GCGAATCAGCCGGGCGGGAGCGGGATCGAGCCATGCCGGGTAACTCCAGCTAGTTGAATATATATTTTAGCACTTACATATCTTAAATTGGGCTGTGTCTTTCTATAATCCTGCTCATTTATGCTAAGAATCTCATAAATACTCTCAGAGATGAGGATAGCTCTGGCATGAGAAAATAAGAAGCTTGTCTAAGGCAAAACAGATGAATGTTCTGCCTCGCAACAAGCTGGAGAGTACCTTCACAGACAGTGGAGCCGAGAGCCACCATGGGCCCTGGAGTAAGATGGGATGGGGCCTGAATCTGAGGGCAGTCAGCCCTTAGCTCCACCCAGACCATGGTGCTGGCTCCCTCCCCAGCTTTGATTTGCTTTGATCCCATGGCAAATCAAATGGGCCCAGGGCTATGGTCGCTGCTGCCACCAAAGTAACAGCAGTTGGGAGCTCCAGGCCCCTTTGAAATGCCAGGCCCCTATGCAAGGCCTCTATGCGATTGCCCCTGTTGGCTCTCTCCTCCACCCCATCAGCAGGCCTGTTCACAGACCGGTATCTCTAATACCAATATCTGAAACAAAGATAAGGAAAGCACTAACAAATTAAGAAACAGGTACAAACTAATGGACTGGATTTTAGTGACACGTAAAGAGGTCTGATAACGTGTAAAATTATCCTACATATATTCCTAGCTAAAATGCGTAACTTGGGGAGCATACTTTCTATGAGGGGTGAATTTAACAACACAACACAAGATGGCCTTCTGGAAACTGGTATTGTACTGAGTCTTTTTTTCCCGTGTTATACTTTTAGCATTAACCTGGCTGATATTGTTTATTTGGTCTCTTGGGTATACTTCATAATGAATCAAGGAACGGTCAAGCAATTGACTATATACTGTATCATCTGTGGCAATTATACAGAAAGGTTGTGAGGCAGAAAGAGAGGAAATGGCTCAGTGATTTGGGAAAACAATCTGCACATGGGCCAGTAAAAGAATGATTGATAGCTGCAGAAAGAAAGACATTAACCGGGGAGACATTAACTGGAAGAAGAAACAGTTATGGAAACAGGATGGAAAGAGTCCATAGAGAAGTCCAGAATGCTTGAGGCTGGGTTTTACTTTAAGTTTAATTTTGATGACAAGATTAAGGTACCACAAGAGTCTTAATATTAGACGTTTTACCTTTAAACAGACTTTCCTTTTGGTGATCAATTTCTAACATCTTCTGATAGGATTTCCTGGACTTAATAAAAAAACCCAAGACTACATGGTTAATTGAAAACCAAAGTGAGAAGATTATGCAAAAGATATCTAACCTGATAGGGTCTGATCTAGGACCCTTTGAAATCAATGTACCAACTCCCATGGATGTCAGCAGACTCTGGATGGGGACTATAGAGCTTTAGATTTTGTTCTTTGCTCTCCACAATTTTTTATTTGACACCTCTCATCTAGGCCATGACTCTGAACTCAACAATCAGCAATGGATTATGAGTCAACAATATAATGCAACTATGGAAAAGGCAAATATTCTGGAGTGTATTTAACAGGAATGTTGTACTTAAAACATGACAGGTGGTACAATTAACACTCTGCACTGGTGAAGCCTCAGCTGGAATAGTGTATCCAGTTTTGGGTGATCCACCTGAACCTAATAAAAGACTTCCAAAATGTGTTAAGGACTGCTAGAGCACAAGGTAGCACAACGGACTTAATCTGCTGCAAGATAGATTTAGTTTAGTTATTAGAAATAAAACAGCGATCTATAAGTACCATTAAGTACTGGAACAGGTTAGCAAAGGAAGGTTGTGAAACCTTGTAAATGTAGGATTATAAGACCAAGTTAGACAAACACCTGTGAGGGATGGTCTAAGTATACCATCTTCACAATGGGCCCTGCTTTACAATGGGAGGAATGAATTATACCACCTCTCAAGGCCCTTCCAGTTCTATACTTCTTTGATTCTGTAATTACGATATACAACCATTCTCTAACTTTTGTGTGCCTAAGTAATGGACAAAGTCTGTTACATTAACATGGGAGCAAATACCTTATTTTAGACCTAATGCTAACATTTTGTCCCCCAAGCTGCCAATGTATGACAAGACACTAGGGCTGTGTCTAGACTGCATCTCTTTTTCGTAAAAGGAATGCAAATTAGACATATCGCGATTGCAAATGAAGCGGGGATTTAAATCTCCCCCGCTTCATTAGCATAAAAATGGCTGCCGCTTTTTTCCGGCTCGGAGCTTTCCTGGAAAAAAGCATCAGTCTAGACGCAGATCTTTCAGAAAATAAAGCCTTTTCTGAAAGATCCCTTATCCCTCATTTTAAGAGGGATAAGGGATTTTTCCGAAAAGGCTTTATTTTCTGAAAGATCTGCGTCTAGACTGGCGCTTTTTTCTGGCAAAGCTCCGAGCCAGAAAAAAGCGGCAGCCATTTTTATGTTAATGAAGCGGGGGAGATTTAAATCCCCACTTCATTTGCAATTGCGATATGTCTAATTTGCATCCCTTTTACGAAAAAGGGATGCAGTCTAGACACAGCCTAGAAGAACATGCTATCAAATGTCAGGCATTTAAGACTCTCTCTTTCTCGTCCGCTGCCTCATAATGCCAAACAATGGGCAGTTGTATATTCTGTTTATTGTTATACTGGCATAAACCGTGTATAAGTTGCTAAACCAATGGAGTTACCCCAGATGGAAATCACCATATTTAAAAAGAGAAAGTGGCTCAACCCCTTGGTTGTACAGCTTACCTCATTGTAGTCCTCCAGTGCCAGATGAGCTTTTCCCATGTGGAAATAGGCTTTAATACATTTGTCATTGCACTGCATTAAAAATAATTAATTAAGCAGTTTAGAATGTGGAATCATTACACCCTGTTATCTAATCTTCTGGCTAATAAAGTTACTGCAATGGCCCAAAATCAAACTATAAACACTTTGAGTGAAGCAAGCTGATTTACAGTTCATTGAGTAACATTTAGACCTTCCTCTGTAACAAAATCAATTGTGATAATGTGGAAATTTATCATTGCACTTTTCACTTCCATCATCACAACATGCTACTGAGGACCACATCTGGTATAAATTGATGTCACTCTACTGACTTCAGCGAAGATAAACGGATTTACACCAACTGACGGCATAGTATTCAACTTTTTAGGCAGGGCCCACATTCATCTTTGGAAAACAGGATCAGCCTTTAAACTACAAAAGCAGATCCAGTCTAGCCTTTTTATAGGCCTTAGACCACAATCAAGGAGTAGTTACCAACATGACATTAATAATATATACAGACTAGTGGTTTGATCAGAAATAAGAACATGAACCAATACTCTACATACATTAAATGGGCTACATCCTCTTTGGATGTTAACTGCAGTAGTTTCCGTTGATTTAAATATCATAATGTATATTAGATGTGGATTACATCTACATTTCCATATCAACAGAACTTTCTAAATTATTTCCTTGGCAGACGAGATTTCTGAATATCTGAAGTGTCTGGATTGATCATCTACAAAATGTTTCTATTATTCCCTCTCTTTCTAAGCTGGTCACTTCCACAGATAGGGGATTTTGGAAATGTGAGGTTTAGACTAATTTGGAGCTATGTGGCTAGTATGCTTATTGGAGTTTTTTATTTAATTAACTAAAAAAATCCAAATTAATTAATTTGCTAAGGATGTCTCCTATCAGGCCATGTCACGGACATTGTAAATACTGGTCAGATGTCCAGATTAAATTATTAGCAAACATAATTCCTATGCCTGCTGATTCTCATCAGCCTTCTTGCAAGGGTAGTAATTTTTTGTACTATATCAGATCTTTGCATAGCAGGACCTTAAATCAACAGCTGATATGATATTAGGAATAATGGAGAAACAAGGTGTGACGGGGCAGCAGGGGCTGAAGAGGCAAGCCTCGCACTCGGGCGCAGGGCGGCCCCGGTGCTGCAGGGCACAAGCGACTCTGCCGAGCCTGCTTGGCGGTGGCCACCTGTGCAGGAACAGGAGTTTCCCCAGCGGGTGCGCTGGGGGAGGGGAGGAAGGGCAGAGGAGCACATGCACCAGCGTCCCGGGATATGGGCGCTGGCTTTGAAAAGGGAGGGCTCCCGCCCCAAGAAGAAGGCAGGGACCAAGGCCAGTGAGGCGCCAGGAATCAGCAGCACTAACCTGTTTGGGCCCACGGCCATACCGGACAGACCAACAGGCTCGGGGGTGACACGGGGGCCAGAACGCCCAGCGGACCACAGTGCCAGGAGAGTCCAGAGGAAGGGCAGCACTGGCCCGCCTGGTAGGAGCAAGCGCGGGACCTGGAGATTGCGAGAGCCAGACGGCTGACGACCCGAGGGAAGAAAGGAGCCCAGGACAGAACCAAGGAGGACCTGAGGGTTGGTGAGTTGTGGCATTGACCCTCCCCACCCCAGCTGAGCAGGGCGTCATTGACGCCTGTTCTTAGGGTCCTGGGTTGGGACCTGGAGAGAGGGATGGCCCAGGTTCTCCTTCCCTCACAGCCAGTGCTAGGGCGTCCATAGCGACTTGACGGGGAAGAAGGGATTTATAGACCCAAGAAAAGAGGACCAAGGCGGTGGACCGACCCTGGGTCGGGGAAGGACCCATAACACAAGGTATCAGAAGACATTAGTATTTAAAGTCTTTCTTCTCATCCAAAAGCAAACTGGCCACAGTTCATACACTTCCACTGGATGTAAGAGAACTCGACCAGAACTGTATGTGGAATGACAGAAATCAAAAACAATAATTTACCAACAGAAAAAGTAAATTGGCAATAAGTGGTAAGGTGAACCCAAATGTATAAGAACTTGTAAATGCTGATCTGATAGCTACTTACAAGGACAATTAGCAAAGAGAGTCACTGTTGATTGCCACTCACAGAAGTTTAGCAAATTCTTTGTATGGAAGTCTCGAGACTTAGCCTGAACATTGAGACTGCAATTTTATAGTCCCACAGCCCAAACCTGTGTCAGATGACCTGATATGACATTATCCAAATAAAATGCGGCCATATAGATGATTGCTGCAACCATTGTTATATATTTGCACCAAATCCTGTACAACGTGGGCAAAATGAGGAGTCTATTACAAGCTTATGATTCACTGATTCTTTTTATACTATTCATATGCATGTATCATTTTTGTATTTGAAGTTCTGAATACTGGACTTGTATTTCAAATAACTGCTTCTGAAAGATATCAAAGGAAGCACGGCCAGCCTATTGTGAAAGGACTATCAGTGAAGTGAACAGAAGTGCTTAACTAACAATGAGCCCCTACATGAATGTTCAGGCCAGCATGGGAGTGATGACTGAGTCATCCATGGACAGGTGACTTGCACATGTGACAAACTCCATCTTGGGACGTACTTTTTTTACACTGAGAGAACAATGGGATTCTCTCCATATGGCCATGGATATATAAAGGCCTTGGAGGTTCCTCTATTTTGTCTTCAATCTGGCTTTTCATCTCTGGAAGATCTTTGCTAGGAACTGAAGTTTAACCAAAGGACTGACAGCCCATCCTAACATCAGATGTATTCCAGAGACTTGATTTTTTGTGCTAGTTTGATGAATATAAATATTGGAATAACCACCAGCATTGGGGATTGGCTGTCCCATTTCTTGGCTGCACCTACTTGAGTCACCCTAGCTGACTCCCCTGGAACTCTGCATATTACAGCCAGGTCCCAACACTCAATGTCATGGGCTTTTTGCCATATGTGTAATTACATTGTGTAATGTACACCCAATCTTAAGAGCAGTTGAAGCGTCACATCTTTCTTGAGCAGCCTTGCCATAAATGAAATGAGTGCTTATTGACACTAGTTATAAAGATTTCTTTGTTTCACAGTTAAGGACCGACTGGCTGATCTTTTCCAGTCCATCTGTGTGTAAGAGAAATATAATTTCCTAATATTACATTGCTAATCCTATTAATGATATGTCAGTGTTATATTGCATTTAACGAATAGCAATGTTTTAAAGCCGCTAGCTTTGGATTCAGACCTTTCTTTTTGGCTTCTATTATATTTCTTCACCTTTCTAAAGGCCATATGAATACTTTTGACTAGGAGGATTCACTGCAAGGTTAACAAGACCATTACCTTTACATTTTTAAGCAGATCAACAGAACATAGCCAGACAATGTTTGCAAAGGCCTTTATCGTTAGTTATATCAAACTTTAATTAAATATTTGAATCAATATTGAATATCAGTGAATCTTAATTTCTCTGTTTAAAATGGTAATGATTTTTTTTAAATCGGGAAACGTAGCTCAGTATGATCGAGGGAACTCTTGGTACCAGCTGACACATGGTTTTACAGAGATCCCCTGCATCTGATATTGGTACAAGAGTTCATCAACTGGTCGTTGGCACATGAGATCTCTACCATGAGCCAATAGCTCTCTGGTCATCATAATGATTAGAAGGTGTTTTAAATGATTTAAACATTATATATATATATAAGATTCCAAAACTGTTTAAGTAAAGCTCATCACCAGACTCAAGATGAGCCTCAGAGCTAACTCAGTTAGTATATACAACAATGGACATCTAGGGAGCCAGCTATGTTTACTGCCTGGACCAATTGCAGACCTGAGAATTTACAGTTAAGGAACCCCAGCATAAGCTTCTGAAGAGGAGACTTCCTGGGGAAAGGACAAGGGCCTGTTCTAGTATGCATGTATGATTTTATATGTAACTATTTGTTTCCAATACTCCTACTTGCTATCACTTGAATCTTTGTCACGTAAACTTGTACTTGATTTCACTATAAGCATATTTGCATTAAGCAGAACAGAGGCTTGAGAGAGAACGAGTTAGCTGGAGTGCACTATTTCTTTGGAAGCAGATGTATGAATACCGTGAATGTCCAGTAGATCTCTCATGGGTGGCCGCCCAAGCCCAGGAACACTGCCTACCTGTACTACTAAAGTAACATGCATATGAAGCAAACGCATGTGAAGTGAGACCCATGCTGACTGCAGACACTATTGACTGTGAGAGCAGTGCACTCCCTCTGCATTCAATCATAGTGCTGCTACTGTTCATTTGACACACATCACAAATTCTAGCTATGCAAGTGCAGATATCAAAACAACACTATCCCGGGAGGCCATCTTGGTTATGACAATCTTGTGGGCCACTGAGATGAAGGAGAGCTACTGATGAGGCCCACTCACTAGCCTAGGTTGCCCATTGCTGGGCTGGATATTCCAGGCAGACATTTGGAGGGCTTGAGTGTTGGAACATGCCCATCACTGACCTTTAGAGAGACCGTAGGGGCTGCATAGCATAGCACTTGTATTTCTTGTGACTGGCTGGGTTGGGGACCACTGGCAGGCACAGACATGACTAACTCACACTAAGAGCAAATGTACCCCAGAGAAGTTTCACACTTAGCATCAGCTGTTATTTCAGTTGTTAAAAGAATGTCAGAAATACTAACAATGTTGTCTCCACCTGGGAAGTAATGCCAGGCTACCGTTATGCATGAGCCCCCACTTCATCAGAGCTTGAACTGATCAGCAAGGACCTCAGCATGCCAAGTTGAAGTCATGCCCAGGGCTTTCAATGATCCTTCGCACTGTGATGAATTTCACCCATGTTGACAGAGTACTAAGCACATTTGTAGCAAATCACCATTAGAAGCATAGATTCCTCTGAAATATTGCTCTGCCATGAGAATTGCTTCCAGGATAACAAGCTGTGAGGTCAAAACATGCATTGCAACATTGCATCACTGTATGAATATGTATAAATAGGCCTCTGGCATCACTAGCACAGTGCATGCTGTGACATGAGATTATCTAGGCTAGAGATCATGATTCAAAAAAGTAAAGAGTTCTTTATATTGTTGACATGCCCGCTATAACTATAAATGAAGTTGGGTAGTGAGTGATGCACACCTCTGTTGGCACATTTAATAATGTTTACTTATACTCTGTGTTCTACCAACTGATTGAAGAAACTGCAAAGCAGTTACCTTTAAAGCCCATTCACAATCATTGATTGCTTTCTTATATTCCTGCAGCTTCATGTGAGCCTGAAATAAAGCCAAGAAGGGACACAGATCAGCAAATTTATCAGCCCAAAGAAGAATTATAGTACTTTGAATCTCTATAATGTTTTCCCAAGTTCAAAGCACTGTACAAACATTTGTTTAATGAAGTGATATGTTTTAACCCACAAGAAGTGCCAACATATTAAGATTGATGCTTAATTAACTTCTCCTAAACCTTTCTGGTAACGTGCCTTTGTGCAGTGGATTTTTAAGGGTGTGAAACATACAACAAGCACAAAACAAGCACCAAACACTCATGAGTCGGTGCTAAACCAGAGGCAGGAACACGTCCTCAGTTCACAATTTTAAAAATTTGACTCGTCTTTCAGAATAAAAGGTAGCTTGGAAAAATATATACCCCACTGAGCTTTCCTTTCATGAAGATTGGGGGTGACCTGTGCATTGTGTGTCACTGAATGCAGGGGAGGAGGAAGAGCTAAGCAAACAGAGTTTGTGGATCAAACAGCCCTTCCATAGTGAGGTTCCATTCTGACCCTCCCTGCAGGAGAAAGGCTGCAGTCACAACAACAGAAATAAAATGAATGCAACAAGACTGCCGAACCATTCCTACATGATCAAGTGAGGAGCTAAGCTCTGGGTTGTGTCTGTCAGGTTTAGTTTTCCTTTCTAGAAGCCAGAGGCACAAGCTAGGAATTAAAACAATAGGGCTGTGTCTACACTGGGCCACTTATTCCAGAAAATCAGCCACTTTTCCGGAATAAGCTGCGAGCTGTCTACACTGGCCCTTGAATTTCCGGAAAAGCAACGACACTCTACTGTACAAAATCAGCCACTATTCCGGAAAAGCTACGCTGCTCCCGCTCGGGCATAAGTCCTTATTCTGGAACACTGTTCCGGAAAAGGGCCAGTGTAGACAGCCCAGTAGCCTTTTCCGGAAAAAAGCCCCCATCGCGAAAATGACGATCGGGGCTCTTTTCCGGAAAAGCGCGTCTACATTGGCCACAGATGTTTTTCTGGAAAAAGGGCTTTTCCGGAAAAGCAGCCTGCCAATGTAGACTCTCCTTTTCTGGAAAAACTTAAAACAGAATAGTATCCCGTTTTAAGCAGTTCCGGAAATTCATGCCAGTGTAGACACAGCCTAGCTGTCCAATTATTATCTGAAGTGCAACTTTTCCCTCAAGACTCTAACAAGGCACTGAGATAACCTGATGAACAGAATAAATGTTCACCCAAATAGGTACCATAATCTCCTAGCAAGGACCCAACCACAGATACCCATTTGCATAGGTAACATGCCATTGAGTAAAAGGTCACAGAACTACGGTTTCTCACATTATTAGCAGTTGTCTCAACACAGCACTGGCTTATATGCGTCAGTTCTTTAGCTAGAGTAGTGCAACAATGCTGAACGTTTAGGGTGCAGACCCTGTTGCTGATGCATGATAGGGAAGGGTGTTACAGTTACACACAATAAAATGGGTTGCAAGGCTTTTGGAAGGGATTTCAATTGTCAAATGAAACCTTGACGGAAGTACTGAAAGGCAGGATTTGCATTTGGAGAAGAAGGATCCCCCTGGGTTTAAAGCACTGGAGAAATTAGACATGAGTGCTGTTCCCAATAGACATTTCATGTATGACTGAGCTACCTAAGGTATGTGAAATTCTATGGCCTGTGTATGAAGTAGGTAAGACAAGATGATAAAGTCTTAGGGGAAGACTGTTTATTCTGTGTTTTTAAAACCCTGCCACACTTGTGTCCCAGTTCATGACAGAAGCTCCCACAGGCTGCAATAATAATGAACATCCTAAGGTCCACCTTTCTGGCCTTAAAATCTATAATTAGTCTATTATTAGAGATATACTATTTGGCAAATGGAACGGATAAGAGCTCTGCCAGCCCCTCTTGGCATACAAGGTAGGTAAAGAACTCAACACAAGTTACCTGTGGTAACATTTAGCTCTCAACAGCCTATTTAGAATATGTTAGGACAGATTCGTCCATTCATATGGGCATGTCAAAGAATTAGCTCCCATTACAGATTATGAGAAAAGAGAAGGAAGGAGGGTAATTGGTAACAGAAGGGAATATAGAGACTTTACCGGCATTAAGCTATAGAAGGTGCGTGGCAGATTATTTTTACATTCTATTTTCCTTTAGTACCAGCTATTGGACACTCAATTGCAGGTCTGTGATATCATGGCAATTGGCGCAATATAAGATGGATACTACATTATAGGCTGCATATAGATGGCTCAATACTTTCTATTAAGACACTTGCACAGACAGAGCATAAAATGCTTTACATGACTGAGGAATTAATTCAGGGCTAATAAAAGGCAGCATGATTTTCACTACAACCTCTCCTGGGAAGCTGAATACTTGATCAGTGAAAGAAACTAAAGGGAAATTTTCATTACGGAGCTTAGTCTGAAGTACTTTGCTGGTAACTTTTAATCATATTAATATTCACTGTTGGTAACATGGCAGTAAAATTGACCCCATCGACTCCTGCTAACAAAAACGAGACCAAAAGCACCACTGTGGAGAATGGCCTGAGACAATTCTCTTATGTGCTGCTCTTCCTCCTTTTTCCACTTCATCTGCAACATATGTGGCCTCCTGAAATTAGCTTGGACCACAGAGCAATGATTCTTACGTGCCACCTGCAGGTGACTTAGACTGTTCTGTACCTAAATGAATACTTTTCTAGCAGATTAATCACACACTGACCTGAGCTCTGTTCGTGTACAGAACCTCCATATCCTTCTGTTTCTCCAGACCTTCCGTGTATCGCTGAATAGCTGTGGCATAGTCTCCTTTATTGAATGCATCATTTCCCTTCCCTTTCAGGGCTGCAGCAAGAAGAGCCATACATTGGAAATGTCATTATTTCCAGCTGTAAACACAGTGGACAGAAGCCATGTTCTCTTGCTGCAACTTGCCCTCAGATTCCCACTATGCCGCCTCATTCAGAAAAGTATTGACTGGGCATAGCATGCAGCAGATTTTTCTCTGTGTATTTTAATTTATGTGCCTTTGTGTTATAAAATACAAACTCAGGCCATTTGTATTTTCTCTATAAAGTTGATTACTTACATCTTCCCACATACCACATCTCTCTCCCGCCAAAGCTTAAGTCGCCATCAAGAGGAATGCATCAAGAGGAGAGCCATCAAGAGGAATGCATTCCAAAACCCCAGCACCTACTGTGTGCAGACAACACTGGCTTCTGATCAATGCTATACATAAGACCATTGGTACTGCAGAACATCAAATGCCAGCTTCCTTCTCCCCAGGCTCATTAATGTGCATAAAATGTGGCTAACAGGCTATCTTACCAGCTTATTTCAGCTCTGTTCTTTTTAAGCAGTGCTTAGTGGGCATCAAAAATGTAAAACTTCAGCAATTACCATTCGCCAAACGTTCATTTTTCTTCCTCCTTTTGGCTCGATCTTTCGCATCTTTCTCTAATGCTGCCATGAAGCTGTCTGAGCGCCAGCAGAGTTAGGGTAGCATTTCAGTCAACGAAAGAAAAAATTTCCTCATTAAAATCAAATTGCAGATGAGAGAAAAGTCATTTCAGAAACACGTTTTCTCCACAAAGGAAATCTTAAGGTGGTAGTTCATTAATTTGATATAACTTGAAACATGAATGATAAGCTATTACACACAAAGACCATAAGGCTGCCCTAGATTTGCATACTTGCCTCTTTAAGTAGCCCATCTCTAAGAGATTCTTATTTTCGATTCAGAATAATGAGGTTCTTAGATGAGAGCTAGTGAATATGCTAAAAAAATTCCTTACTATGCATAAGCTAGCCAGGCACACTGGGATTTTGTAAGCAATTATAACTTTTCGATACAGCTCTCAGAGTCAAGTGAAAGATTATCATTGACTTTAGTGGGAATTAGATCAGGCACTGTGTGAGGTAGCTAAATCAGGGAAAGCAATCTACAATCCTTACATTAGCTTTACGGATACAAATTGAACAAGGCATAATTATCAGAGAGGTGAACTCTGTCCTACCTCGTCTAACTGTCTCCATATTCTGTGTGGTCTGAAAGAGGTGGATAAGTGACACACAAACACATAAACAAAGAGATTAGGCTTCAGCTGGAATGAAAATAAATTTAAGTATAGTTATTTCTAAACTAGCTGCAATTTTCATGAAAAATAGGGATTGCGAAAGATGGATCACATTCATTTTTTAAAGCAGCTTAAAACAAAGATCTGTAACAAGATGAGTCTAGTAACAAGAGCAGCATTTTAAACTTGTCAAAACTAACTCCACCAGGAGTATTTACAGTCACAAAATAGAAGAAAACAATTCAACGCTCAGATGTCCCCTTACAAAGTTAGCTAAGAATTTCTGTTAGACTCTTCAGATGGGAAAATTCACCATGGAAGTCTTGACAGTTCAAATTGCTATAACAATCTGCTGGGAGACATTCCATAATTAAAGCATTTCTATGAATAAGACTAGGTGCAGCTGTACAATACCTAGGGGCCAGCTTTTTAAAGATACGTGTGTGCCTAAAGATGCAGATAGAGCCTGAGCTGGATTCCTTCTTGTGCCTAAGCAGGATAGGTGCCCAAATTCTATTGATTTCAACAGACATTAGCTGCATAATTTGTTTAGTTCTGAAAATTCCACTAGATACTTATCTAGATTTAGGCACCTGCAAATCTAGCTCCTAATGTCTAGGACTGGCTTTGGATCATGCCCTTAAGAAGCAGCAAATAGTAGCTACATGTTACAGTATCTCAGCACCCGCTGCTTCTTTGCTATTAGCACTCAGTGATCTCCTTTTGATCTCCTGAAGCTTGAACATGTGTAGGCTGTAAAGCAGAGCTACTCAACTTTGGAAGCCTCGGGAGCCACAATGATACTCACTGTACATGCCAAGCGCCAAAACTTACACGCGGTTGCATATACATGCAAATATATATATACACAAATACAGGCAGTCCCCGGGTTATGTGGATCCGACTTATGTCGGATCCGTACTTACGAACGGGGCTTTTCTCGCAGGGGCAGCAGGGACCGCCCAGACGTGCCACAGTCCCGCCCCCGTGTCCTCCGGGGCGAGAAAAGCTGCTCCGCGTCTCACTGGTCTGCTGGCCTGCCACCCAGCAGACCAGGGAGACGTGGAGCAAAGCCACGGAGGATGCGGGCGGCGGGACCGTGGCGTGTCGCCGCGGCTGGCCCCCTGCGGGCGGCCTCCGCGGGGTCTGTT